TCCCTGCTCAGTGGGAAGCCTGCTTCTCCCTCTCCCACTCCCCCTGCTTGTGTTCCCTCTCTTGCTGTGTCTCTCTCTGTCAAATAAATAAATAAACATCTTTAAAAAAATAAAAATAAAAATACAATTAGTTATAATTAGGAACTCCTTTATTCCTTATCAAAACAGTCTAACAGCAAATGTAGATAAAAGGTTTCATCTTTACATACAAGTTGTCATTTTTGGATACATCCTTCTGTAGAACTCTGCCACATTCATACCTTGTCCTTGTGAGAGGGTAAAATTTTACATTAGCCTTATTCAAAGAACATGGTAATTGTAAGAGACCAAAAAAAACCCCATGGAGTCGAGGGCAGGAGAGAAGAATTTTTCCACATACAAGCACATTTAAACTTCTTCCAAGTACAAAAACATTTGTCTTGTTGCTTTAAGGATAACTTTATGAATCGTAAGGTCTTACAGTACAATCCAGGTGAAGTGACAGCAAGTATTTTAAGTAAATCCCAATGACTTGAAATTCAAGTCCAAACTAAATATTTAATGTTTTCTTTATTGCAAATATGATGTCTTTAACCTGAGGTATAGAGTTGTCTTCCAGAATCTTTGCATAAGGCATAGGGACGTCAGCACCAGTGACACGAACTGCAGGAGCATCCAGGAAATTGAATGCAGGGCCTAGAAGAGAAGGAGGCTCAACTGAGAGAGGCAAGAAAAGACCCTTAGCACCACCACCTTCCCACAGGAGCTATGGCTCTCCAAAGGAGAGAAAATCTAAAGGAATACTAATTACCGGGACTGCTTCTGGCTTTTTAAAAATATTTACCCAAAGGAAAAATGCCAAGGTGACAAGTTGAAAGTTAAGACTGTTGGCCACCCCTAGCTTTTGATCTCTATCCAGTATCCAGGTACACACTGTTTATTACAGCTTGAGTATTCTAGAACCATTTTCTCTGAAATACCTTCCATGATCCTGGCACAAACTTCAGCTCCTACTCCAAACTGTGGCCAGCCTCCTTCCACAGTTATGAGATGATTGGTCTTCATGACACTGGCTTCTATTGTTTCAATGTCCATTGGTCTGATGCTTCGCATATTTATCACCTAAACAGACAATACAGATATGCTTTATAGAGTCACTGCACCACAAATACAGTCTCATCCCCATAATACCACTCCCTCTTTGTTTCCTGTTAATCTCTGGGTCTAGGAAAATCAAATCTGCCTATTCAAGAACAAAATGTAAAATAGGAAATTGTAATTAAAACAAAAATCTTTATCTCTACCACAAGTGGTTCTGTTAAGAATGCACTTAACCCTCTTGGGCTTTAACTTCCTTCTCGTCAAAACAACTAATAACTACCAACTGACTGCTCCCCGTGCACCAGGTGCTACACTACGTGTAATTCCCACAACCACCCTGATGGGACAGTAAATGTATTCTCCTTGGTTTACAGCTGATGGGGCTGAGATTCACAGTACAGATCTTGCCCAAGTGTAACCAGCGAGCGGTAGGTCCTGGACATGAAAGAGACCCTGATTTCTAGTTTGCCCCTCTCCCGACCTCCAGCTCCAAGGCTGGATCCCAACTTGAGAAAGCAGGTACTATTCTAACAGAGCTAGAACCTACATGGTAAACAGCTAGGTATTTGAAAAGCAAGAAGGTTCCCAGCTTCAAGCAGAAGCAGAACTGAGTGACAAAGCAAGATTTTACACTTAGTTAACCTGTTACAGAATTCAAACTCCTATTTCTGGGTTTTAGATTTAAAAGGAAACTTTCTGATTCTTTAAGAAATGAATGTCCACATACCTCACATTCAATTCCCTCTTTAGATAGCACTGTTGCAGCTTCTAAGCAGTGGCCCACAGGTCTTGAATGGGCAACTACGGTTATGTGTGTCCCTTGCCTTTCTATTTTGGCTTTTCCAATGGGAATCAGAAAATCTTTTGACTGAGCTTCTGAGGGAAATTCAAAAGGAACTCCATACATCAGTTCATTCTCTAGCACTACCACTG